CCCGGTCAGCTAAGTGCCACCAACCACCAGCCACTGCAAGGGCTTGATCCTGAAGTTATATTTAATTAGTGGAAGCATTAACACGGGACACGTTCACATCCCATCTCAGTTGCTATCTTCCAAACCACAACTTTGTACTGGTTCCCAGTGGCTGCACTCGATACCACCAGTGCAAGCTGAGGCTCCAAGCCTGTGGAAGAGAGCGTGGCTTACACCAAAGCAAGCGTTGCACAAGAGGCAGCGAGTCACAAGAAGTGTCCCTGGATCTATAAAAGCAGTGCACTTAATATCCCCATTTATAGAAATGCGCCTAGAAGAATGAGATGAAAGGCTTCATAGAAAAAATAAATGCAATTAACAGCCATTATTTTTCCTTTTTTCCATTTGTTCCACTCTAATTCCCACCGATTCCTAGGGAAGAAGCCTGTTCTAATGGAAAAGAAACCATCCACAATTACAGAGCAGAAATGAAGTATCCCAAGTGTCAGCCTTTCATCTCCTTCTCCATCTGCCTCATGAAAGAGAGTAACCCAGACTGGCATTTTCTTAAATAAAACCCAGCTCAAAACCACAATACATTTTATTGTGAACCTCACTGCAAGAGCCAGAAAGGAGCAGGTTTCAGGAAATCATGCTTCCAGGCAATCAAAGCAGCTCATGTCTGTAAGAAAAAGAAAAAAAAAATATTCTCCCCTAAGCTAATTTCCCTTGAAAAGTAACTAGACAGTATCTTTGGGAAGTAGGGAGGTGGGAGAGGTGCTGCTCCTGGGGAGAGGGGGCAGGACTGCAGACCTGCAACATAAAGAGCTTCTTTCCTACCCCTTTTTCTTCTCGCAAGGGATTTTGTAACAGTTTTGGAAACGCAGAATTGCCGGCAATGCCAGCATGGCTTTGCTATCTGGCTTAGAGAAATTACCAGAGGGCTTCCAGGTCCCCAACTCCGCTTTGCGATCACCCCAGGGTAGAGGTCCAGCATGCAAGAGACACTTTCCAAGAGGCAGATCCATTGATTAATGGAAGCCCAGAGCGCTTGGCTGGGGATCCCAGGGACAGGTGGCTGAGACTTGCCTTACACTTGGTTTTCATTAAGGCTTCCAGACACTTCTGACTCAAAGCCAATAACAGAGCTCGCTCAGAGTTTATCCTAGAGTCGGTCCGAGCTGCATGGTTAAATAGAAGGAAAAATTAAAGGAGGGGGGAGGGATGTCGCGGACAAGCATCGCGGAGCCGGT